ATATATATCTATATCAATGCCAACATATAATACACGATGTTTATATAGTGAACCAAGTGTTGATGGTACTTGACCATCCCATATATTTTAATTACTCGGCACACCTGATAAGGTTAAATCCTTTAATTCCATCTTAGAAGCGGATTTCCCGAGAAATAAATTCTTACTTCCTCAACTCTTGCCAAAAACCAACTCCCTTAATTAACATTGTTCAGGTAACACTTTGTCTACGTGCAAGTCAACATCAACCACCCAGAACATAAACTCACCATAGCACTTCTGAAATATTAAGATCTACAAGACAAGTTTCATCCTATGTAAGTACCTAACCTTTACCAATTACCACAGTAAATGTTTAATTAATAACTATTAATGATATGCTGTATTCGTTGATATAATACACTTGAACAGTAAATTCTGTATTCAAATTTCTTACTTTGTTTAAATCCAAGTTATAATTTTTTGTCAATTGAAAATATTTTCTCAGCCAGAAACCTATAGAAAGCTATAAAATAGCGTCTATCAATTTAATGATTCTTTTAATACAAGTCTTATAATAATAATAATAATAATAATAATAATAATAATAATAATAATAATAATAATAATAATAGTGTAGTTTATATAGCGCACATGTCCATCTAATGTAAGATGCTCAGGGCGCTTGATATGTGGACTAGGAACTTGATCAATGAAAAGCGAACTTGTTGATAACTTGTTTGATTATATGAACCAGCATTTCGATAATTTGATTGCGTGTTTGAGTTGTTAAATAGTTTCATCTAGTTTACAATACAGTACCTAGATTTCATAGAGATATTTTATCGAAATAAACCAATACTTCCTTCGCACAACTGTCAGTTAGGTTAGGTGTCCGACAGTCTAGCCTAACAGTTAGTCTGACAGTTGGTCGAAACTTTCATTCAAAACTGTGAATCTTTTTTTTCAATGAATTTTAACTTTGGAATGTTTGGGTTTTTAAACATTGTTTGACATAGGAGTCATTCTTTAAACTATATAAATTTTAATATTTTCTGCAAAGCGCATAGCGATTCTAGTGGTATGCGATATACGAGTACAATTAATAATAATAATAATAATAATAATAATAATAATAATAATAATAATAATGGTAAATTGAGTAACTTAATTTCCATAGGCCTACTTTAGTAGTAAGACTGTGACGTATTAAACGACTTTATGAGTCTGTATAGTATTTCATTTTTCTTCTGCACAAACTTCAGTAATTTGTTTAATTTAAATACTTATAATTTATACCATAGTTCATAGGTCAATACGCATCGATTATGAGATTTTGATATGAATATTGTTGTTTTCGTATTAGGTCATAATAAATTCTAAAGTAACAACAATGAATAGCACAGAATTCGATCCATCCACATGCACGTTGCCAAGCATCGCAGACACACCCCTGATCTACTATCCGAGCCTACTTTCATTTTACATTACCATGCTCATTATACTATGTGTTTTGATCACCCTTGGTAACTGCATCATCATATGGGCGTTCATTCACGTGAAGAAACTGCGCGATAAGAAGTACGTACTCATAGGGAGTCTGTGTCTTACCGATTTCTTAACTGGGATAATACTGCCCATCCAAATCTTAGCTCCACCAAGTTTTGTGGACGCTATTGGACTTTCTCTCGCAATCATTTCCGTTTTCACAATTCTGGCGATTGCAATTGAGCGTTTCTACATACTAGTTCTGATGAATGTGGACATGAGTCGAACGGCAGCTACAGGGAGGCAATTGATACTCATCTGTATATTGATGTGGTTGACGGTATTCCTTGTGGTCGTACCATGGACGGCCTATCCACGCAAGTACATTATCCTTCTCTACAGCTTTGCTCCGTTGAGTGTTATTGTTGTTATGATTGGTGTCAGTGTACTGTATGCAAGTATCTTTCACACGATGCATAAAATGGATAAAAAGAAACAGAGCAAACTAGGCAAAAGAAGTCTCAACCGAACGAAGCTTGTTATTCAAGCCTACGCCATAATAGTCGTCATGTTTTCTGTATGTTGGCTGCCATGGTGCATCGAAGCCCTACGCACAGCTTTTGACACTTATTTCAGCAGCAATCCAGCGGATCGTGAAGTGTGCTACGTAGCGACCATACCAGCAATTTTCTTGCTAAATCTTGGCCTTCTAAATTCAGCCATTAATCCGTTGATCTACTGGCTGAAGTTGCCTGATTTCCACGACGCTATCAACAGATTGCCAATCTTCAAATGCTTCACTTGCAAAAGTTGCCAAAAGAGGTCGGCAATTAGCAGAAGCGATAGCTCTTTTTCGAACAGCGGTTCTGTAATGAACACAGTGGCTGTACAGATCAATGAAGTCACCAATAGCTAAATTGCTTTTTAATTCTTATTCTAACCATGAAGGTTTCAATGTTATATTAAAACTAATAATATGTATATTGTTAAGCAATGTCGTCTTAACTTGGTATCTTGCAATAATCAATAAAGACGTTTACTTGCAGCATGAAAAAACAATTTAGTAACTTTTCCAAAGTTAACAGTGTGGTATGTTTAAAGATCTCGGTTTTATTATGTTTGTTGTTATTGATTTTTTTGCTTGTTAAAATAGGTCAAATGAATTGCGTAATAAACACATAAATATAATATAGTTAATTAATGGTTTAAACACTAATATTAAAGCTATATAACTCAATAGTAAAGCTTTGTAATCGTAAATGCTTGATTCAAAGAAATGCATCATGGGATTATGATTTGCTACCCTGGATTTTCCGACAACAGGGGTGAAGCCTAAATACGATGAATCAGCTACAGTATAATATTTCAGGGCTATTGGTTAGTTTCAATTTCATTTCAATAGTTCCGCTTATCTAAAGTAATAGAATGTGCTTTGAACACGTTATATTTTCATTGCGGATTTTTTGGGCTCAGTACGGACTCCAAATGTATGCATTTTCTTTTAGTTTTAAGGCGTATGCGGATTTTTTAGGTCCGCAATGACGATATAACGTGTTTTTGTACTTTTCTTTAAAACCAACGTCTTTTTGTTGCAATAATTTAGAAGTGTTGCAATGTAAAATGTAAATGTTTTATTTCTTAAAGTTTTAGTTTAATTACAAACATTTTGTAAATATTCAATGCTCTTATACTTTTCATAGAATCTAATGTTGTTTAATGTTAAAATTAATTAGAAATGTTGGAAATGTAAAAACACATTTTGTATATCCTTCATATATTTTCATATTTTTATTCTATATAAATAATTCTAACATTTTGTCAATATTGAATGTTTTACCGAATACTTTTCTTAGAAGCCAATGTAGTAATTATTGTTACAATTGGTTAAACACGCTAGAAAACTAAGAATATTTTAGTATATTGGATGACATTTTAGACCGTCATATTTCATTTTGGTTTTTATAAAAAAATATATCTATAGAATTCTTAACCTAGTAAATAACATTTAAAAAAAACCAACTTAATAATATTCACATTCTGTTTTATCGCATATGCCTAATAAATAATATTGATATAATGTATTGAGCACACATCTATACTAATAAAATACATGCGGTTGGCTCGAAACTACTAGCATTTTGACTTGCGTTACCGTACTGAAAAAACCTCGAATTGAAGCCCAGTGGGCTTAATCTCGAGATGAAGCCCATCTCAAATTGAAGCCTCTTCTTTAGTTTGCAACATTAGCTTCGACAGAAGCCAATGCAAAGTTGGAAAAAAGAAAGAAAAGAAGCCCAGGGGCCAGATTTATCAAACTAGAAATCAGCTTAAATTCGTCTTAAGTCCATTTATTGCTTAAGTCAAATTTATCCATATTGCTTAGCTTAAAAATTGCTTAAAATTAGAAAGTCGATTGTACGTTTGCGCCATCTAGGACGATTTTTAAGCTCAGATTTTGCTAAGATTGGGTAATAAATCAGCTTAAGATATTTATTAGGGACATCTTAACTTTTTTGACTTAAGACATTTGCTAAGCTGAGATTGATAAAGGCCAGGGCTTCAAATCGCTGTTTTACGGTATGTTTCCATAATCTACAAATATGTAAAGTGATAAACAATAATAATTGTTGTTTTAGCAAAACTAATGATCTTGATATGCATGTATTTGTAATCCACAATTAACTGAAGTGATAAATTGGTGTTGTCTGTTATTTGGACGGAACTATAACTGGTCTTATGGTGTGTAGGTGTGTATTATTTTTATAAATTTCAATTGATGATTAAATACGGTAGTATACAGAAACGTTTTCTTCATTATTTCTGTTGCTATTTCTGTTGTTGTTGCTGCTCCTCCTCCTACTGCTGTTGTCAATGAACAATGTTTTTGTTGTTTTTGCTGCAGTTGCTGCTGCTGATGTTGTTTCATTTCATTTCTTTAGGCACAAGCGCCGAGGATATGCCAATCAGTGAACCTATCCTACGTGGCATATCCATTAAATGACAGGGGACTGAATGAACCAGTACACCGGGGTAACCCCTACTTTTCTTGAAGGATGTACAGGGTTTCTTCAATGTGCACGAGCCAAATGCGTACAATAGGCCTACGGTATAAAGTCCTTACCCGAGAAGACTTGTTCCACCACCACCGGAACCATTGGCGAGTGAGCCGTTTGAACCAGCGCCGATATTCTGAAGGTTACGGTGCCCCTGACTTAATCGGTGATATTCGACTGGATTAGAAGGATACATAGAAAATGATCGGAGAATAACATAATTACTAGTCTCCACTGGTACACCACATTTCGCAAGACAAAACCAAAATTAGAATTTCCTTTATAAAAAAGTAAGAAAATTGAGTTTTTAACCATGCATCATTTCTGTCATTTGGCAGCAATTTAATGAGAAAGGTCTATTCAACCAAAAATCATTGAACTGAACTAAGCGTTATAAATGTAGGTTAATGAGTGCCGACCTAAAGAGCTTATTGGCCCCTGTCGTGGACAGATGAAAGTGTGCCAGTTTACTGGCTGCAATGGACATGAAGTAAAAAGTGCAACATCTAGAAGGCAACATTAATTATGTTTAGTAAGCATAATGGCTCTACCAACCGAAAGCGAGTAACCAATCTAGCAGGAAGTCAACATTAATTATGTTTAGTAAGCATAATGGCATATTAGTTACGATGTGGCATTTACCTACAATAATAATAATAATAATAATAATAATAATAATAATAATAATAATAATAATAATAATAATAATAATAATAATAGATGGATTTATATCTATTATTATTAGTATTATTATTATTATTATTATTATTATTATTATTATTATTATTATTATTATTATTATTATTAATATTATTGTAGGTAAACGAAGGTCCAGTGTATAAAAACCCATTGCATCTTTCGGAAGAGTAGGGGGGTTACCCCAATGAGGATGTTATGGTTCGTTTCAGCCCCAGTTGTTGTCGAATTATGCGAATATAAGCACCTCTTTACGGTTTGGTAGTCACGGACCACGCCCATGCGCAATTCAGCACACTGAAACCAACCAACAGTGCAGAGTAAGAAAGGATACTCAAAGTAGGTTTCTTAAAACAACATATTACCTCTTGTCTGGTGGATGGGATTGTCACCTACAAGTAGGACAGTGATATATTCGCTATTTACAATCCTTGGTGCATGTGTTGTGCGCCTAAATAAATAAATAAATAAATAAATAAATTAATTAATTAATTAATAATAATAATAATAATAATAATAATAATAATAATAATAATAATAATAATAATAATAATAAGCTTCCATTCACAGTGAGGGTGAGTGTTTCGCGACATATCGCCTCATTCGCGTCTATCATCTAAATAAGTCTCATTTGTAAATCCACCATATGCTGTTATTCGATATTCATTTCACTCTAAATCATCAAATATAAAATCTGATAAATTAATCAGTTATTTTCTCAAGAGAGCTGCTAGCTCAGTCAGCTAAACTGTTGGTAACCTATGTGTGTGCACTGAACCGTGGAGATATCTTTGTCCCCGGTGCAATTCTCATCGCTGCTCTTTCTTGTGTTTCAGCTGGAGGGCTGAAATTGACGGTTTCAAAAAGCGCATCCGTCTTTCGGATGAGACGTTTAAGCCGTTGGTCCGTTGTGCAAAAATGGCCCATGTGCACGTTAAAACAGTGCACTCTTTGGGAAAGATTAGGGGATTTTTCCAGGTACGGTACTGCCAGAATCACCACCAGAGAAGGACCCCACTGGAAATAAGCCTCATGACTTTCGTGTGTAACCCTTGGTGCGAATCACTCTGAAGTAATCCAATCCTATCTTAATTTTGGCAAGACAACATCAACAATATAAGCTGTTTCCTTGAATCAGATTTCTATTGTACTGATAATATTTTAAATAAAATCCAAGTTTGACGTACGTGTCCGTGGTGTGTATACAAGAAAAAGTAGTCCCACATATATAACACCATTTGTAACTATTATTGTTTGTATGTGCCTGTACCAGGAACAACGGTGTGCAAGTTTCCTTAGCTTCACCAGTGCTGCCGCCTGATGAACCCATTGCAGCAGCACAGTCATTATTATCAGGTAGAGTTTTTAGTAGGCCTACCTATCTCTATAATCGCTCTTGGAACCAGTGAATATGGAGTATTAAACATCTAAAGACCTACATAAACAAAATCCAAAGGAAATGACTAGCCTAAACACGAAAGTAACTTTTTGTTTGATTATATCTTTGGGCTTGGTTGCTCTCATGTTGAATGAGGTACATTTTAGACAATAAACCATATACTATTTATGTTAGTATAATTGCTTTACTGATTGTTTAAATAAAGTAGACCTATATTATAGGGCCTATGTTTATTAAACCATGAAGGTTTTTGCAGCCCCTTCCACTCAATGAATGCATTCAAGATATAGCAGCGCTTTCAGGGGCGCGCTATACCACTGTGTTCAATCTACTAGAAAACGTTTAACTTTTTAGAAAAATATATTCAACCCACGTCTTTTGTGATTGGTAATATCAAGCAGAGACTTGGGCGCCAACTGTTTTGTTTGTGAAGTTATTGTGTTCTGGTATATCGTCGAATGAATACAATGTTATCGGCTCACCGCTCGTTCATAAATTTCGATTGGCAATATATTTTATCTTCTTTAAAATAAAAATTGGACATACAGCACTAGCCGCCAGCACACTAAATGTATAAACATCTACTTCGTGATCATCTTGGCATGCAAAGGACGAACGATTGTTTTCCTAAAATAAAAATATGCTCGTATTGGTTGAACAATACATCACCTATACAAATAACCGGATCTTCGTCTTCAGAAAATAAACTGCAGAATCATTTGTTCTTTCACATTACAACATAAGCCCATGTGTTCAATATTAAGGCTGAGAAGAATGCATCATTATCTCAGTGTCGATATTTGAAATATTTTAGAGGTCAAACGAATATTTTTTTAAAATTAAATATTAATATCAATGGGTAACCTAAAGCATACGCAATAATTAAGCTGAAACCAAAGCAAACTATTTCATACATCCTTATATTTTGATATTTTATATTCATTCTGAAGAGTGGGGCCAATCATGGAGATTGAGTAGAGTATTTTCATCAAGCGAAAAAATACTTAAGGCTCATTGTGTTGCTTAAACTAATTTCCTTTTTATCAAGAGGTAGGCCTCCCTGTATACTGTACAAGGTGATTCATAAATTCATTTATGCATTTTAATTATATGTGTAGGCCTATGCCTATAGTATTTAGGCATGATTCACCATTTAGGGCTGACCAGACTACTTGTAGTGTTTTATAAGTGTTCACTTTCACTTTGTAGGTTTTTAAATGTAAGGTAGAATTTCACTTCTTAAAACATTTAATTATCACCGTACGCTTTGATCTTCTGATTTGTGATCACCTAAATAAAGTTCATTAACCACGTCCATTGGGGGAACCAACTACGCAATTTAACACAGGACTAGAATGGCTCTTTTTTCTGCTGACAATGCGGAAG